AAGCCATTATTCAAACCCTGCCCTACTCAATCTACCCTTGAATTCCAAACCCTTCTGAGACTGCCATGGGCTAGATGACACAGCTCTGCAGTCCAGATCTGGCCTGTGGACCATATGTTTGACACCCCTGCTCCAGTGCTGTCTGCAAGGCCCAAGGCAGTGTTATGTAGAGCTAGTAGAGTTTTATCTAAGGACGCTGACAGAAGTGGCATTTGTTGTGTAATCAGATCTTGAAAGTGCTCTATAGCCATGCCCTGACAGAAGTGCATGGCTGCAGAGTGCTTTAGAAGTGCGTGAGCACATGGCAAATTAACCCTCATTACATGAGGATTCACATGAAGGCACTCTAAAGTGGAGTGCCTTCATTAACTTCTGTAAGTCCCTACGCATGAGCAGGGCTGGGCTGGATCAGGGCTGGGCTGCCTTTAGTGCTGTCTGCAGGATGGGAGGGGGCAGGAAGTGGGAGGGAACTGCAGGCCAGGGTTTGCCCAGCCTGAGCTGGAGTGGGTGGATTGGAGCTCTTCCACCTTACAGCCCTCACGGGGACTCCAATCCACCTCCCCGGCTCCAGCTCAAGCTAGGCAAACCCCAGCCTGCAGCTCCCTCCCCCTCCCATCCTGCAGACAGCACTGGAACTGCAAGGGGCGGGGGCTAAGGAAGGCAGGCAGCTCCTCGGCTGGATTGGCTCTGAAGTGGAGCTTGATCACCCCCGTCCCTAACACAACAGCAAACGTCTGCTGGATGGTGGTGGTTGGGGCGGGGGGGGGGGGGGGGGGGTCGGTCTAATTTATGTAACTCATGGCACTTTCTGTAAAGCGCCATGAGTTAGACCAGGGAGCTACACATTTGTCAGTGCCCTAAGGAGCTAGCATATATACTGGAAGCAATGCAGCTGCATTAGCAGGTTGTGTTAGCTTAGGTATGGTGCTACACTAACATGATTATACTGCTCCCAGTTCCCATGCTAGCTCATTTAGAACTAGTTTACACATCTCTACATGGCACTAAATTGGGCTGTAGTAGACATAAATTTGATCCCTGCCTGTTGTTTGCTATATTCCATGCTTAAGCCTTAAATTTCTGATAGCAACACTAGAACTAAAATATTTTTAATTTTAAACCTTATTATAAAATAAAATGCAAAATTATAACAAAAATTACATTAATACATACAAAGTAAAGAGACAGAGCAAACTGAAATCAATGTGCTAATCAAATGCAGTGTTATAATCAACCCATCAGTTATTAACATTGAGCAGCTCCACTGCCAAGTATCGACAGCATCCTCTTACATCAATATGAAAAAAACCAAGCAAAATAAAAAGACCACAAACACAAGAGCAAGCCCCTTAGTTCTAAATTATACTGACTGGTCTCAAAGAGGCTGCCTGTGGATGAATAAGTAGTTCCTTAAACAGCAGTTGAGTCAGTGTACGTTCAAAGAGCTTTGATCAATGCTAGCAGGGGTTATTCTGTGAAGAGAACAAAGGAGTCTAAGAGATTGGGCCACGGAGAGAGAACTGGAGGGAATAAAAGGGCCACTTGGATTCCAGTCACAGATCTCTTTAAGCCTCATTCTGCCTCCCTCCCTCACATTGAGCAGTACCTCATTCCTTCAGTAGTCCGACTGATGTCAGCGAGCTTTGGCTCTCCCCTGTGTTACCAATTTCAGTGGAATTATTTGCAGAGTAAAGAACTACTCAACATTAGTAACAGTAGCAAAAGATCCTTCATAAGTAAACAACAGAATATTTCCTAGCATTCATGATTAAAGCATGAAAAACATATCCATGAGGCTCTGAAATCAGTACCAGAACACTGATATCTTATGGGTTCAGTGTTCAGCTGGCATCTTTGGTTGATTTAATTGAAGCTATTTTGACTTACATTAACTAAGGACCGGGCAAACCGATTTCATTGCATCTGAAATGTAGTTCGATTTACTGTAAGAGTAAAAGATGATCTGTGATTAAAGAGATTTTGGTATTTCCATACCTTGAAATAACATTACCTTGCTAAATCAGTCTTCAATCAAGTCTTAATTTTTCCCCATTAAAATATATATTTTAATTGCATCTAGTTTGTGTTTCCCAGAGGCTTTCACTAGAATACACTGACAAGTATTTTCCAGGAAGGTAATATATATATATACATACTTTTTGTTTATTCAAGAACCTGGGTTGGCTGACAACATGCTTCAATGAATTGCCTATCCAGAAAAGATCACAATAAATCCTCTGTTGACAGAGTAGCTGGAAGAGAGCTTGGCCTCAAGGGGCACATCCAGATGAGTATAGATGCGTGGTATGTGGCACTACGGATCTGTCTGTGGTGCCACACACCACACATTCAGGTGTTCCCCATGCTGCTACTTTGCAGTGGGGGCAGGGGGGTGAACCCTGGGAGATCCTGGTTTAAAAAAAAAAAAAAAAAAAAAAACACGTAAAAAAAAAAAGTGGGGTGGTGTATGTGGCCACCTCTGCTCTATTAGGCGTTCCCATGCTGCCTTAGCCCGGGCGGTCGATCTGATTTGCCCAGGGCCTGCGTGTGGACCCCAGAGGGTACCTCGGCTGACATCAGGGAAACCCCCTAACTCGCCTGCCACAACTTTGAATGGATCCTCAGTGGAGGGGGTCCCGTTCGAGGGAGCCTCTAGGGTCGTCATGCCTCTCGGTGGGCACTCACAGGGCTCCGACCTCCCCTACACCCCAGCCAAGCACCACCTTCCGCAACGGGCTTTCAAGCCTATTTTTACAGCTGGCCCCTGCTGGTTTCTCCCCTGATCTTCGCATAGCCCTTCAGCAGCGAGCTCTGGTGTCCTGGCCAGGCTCCGGTGTGAGGGCTAGGAGGCCCTCGGGTTTCCAGCTCGACTACCCGGTGCCCTTAGCCTCAGTGTCTACTGGCAGTGGCTCCCCGTGCGCCCCTCACCCAGAGCTGAGGGCTCTATGGACCTATCTTAACAAAAGGGACCATGGCACTTGCCTTGATCCTTACCCCTGTTCCCGGAAACACCCAATGTGACGCGACGTGAACAAACCCACCACCGTGACTGCTGGTGAGGCGTAACCGCAAGGAAAGAATGGTAGGAGCACCCAAAGGAAAATAGAGTACCCCTCCCCGTGGGGACTCTGTGCTCCCCTAGTGCCTCCATGTCCTTAGGCCCGGGCACCCCAAGTTGGGGCCCGGGCTCTTGCCCCAACCAGGACTCTTCTCTCTCCCTCCAAGCTTTGCTTCTATTCAGGGTTGTAGACCCCGTCGCTTGAGGTCAGATAGCTACAGCCGGCTCTTCCAGGGGTCGCTTTGGGTCCACCTGCTGGCGCCCTTAATCCCCACTGGGCTTCTCCGGTTTGGGGTCTCCCACTGCTCCCACTGCAGCTATCACCGCTGGCACTCCCGCCAGCTTCCCTTCCGGCGTTTTTGCCTCCCGCCATTCCTTGGCTCCAAGATCTCCCGTGGCGCCTACGCTCCCACGGCACTCGCTGCTCCCATGGCTCTCGCTGCTCCAGTGGCTCTCGCCGCTGCAGCAGCCACTGCTGCCCCCTCTGCTGGCGTCTCTGATCCCTGCCGGTCTTCTCTGGCTCAGGGATTCCCCGCCACTTCTCTCACCGCTGCTGCCCTTGCCGCAGCTGCAGCTGTCT